TTTTGAGTTTAATGACCATCTGCATTCAATAAGCAGATAAATAAATAGGCAGGAGTAGAAAGAGGGTTAACTGATTTTGGAAAATGGGGCTGCCCTCATGATAGCCTTGCATAACAGTTATTGTGAGCTAACATGAATTCAAATTGATGATATCATAGGTTACATGATCTCTAAGTATCACTGAGCTGGCAGTCTTCGAAAACATCTTTAATTCCAGATCTAATTTGATCTAACTCAGTTTTGCTACTGTCATATAGTGACAATGTCCCATTGTAAGCAGAACCTTTTCACCTACAAAAGTTTATTGATTTATTAGCAGTAAAGGCTAAATCTGTTAAGTTCTCCCTTTATCTCGATATTATTTAACAATTTGTGTATAACTGTTATTCTGTATGGTAGTTATAGACAACAGATACAAAAATGTATCTTTCATCCAAATTGTTTATAATCTAAAATTCTGTATAAAGAAACAGAAGATTTCATGGTTGGAAATAGTGTAGCAAGGAAAATATCCTTTCTCATTTGTTACATTTAACTGGGATTAGTTTCAGTAGGTAGAAGGAAGAATATAAATTCAATTAACTTACATGGATTTTGCTTACTTTTGGTGAACTTGATACTAAAGGCTTTGGGGAGAGATCTGTGAAAAAAGAGGTAGTATAAAAGTGTATTAGAAGGAAATTCTGAACTGAGAGTTGCAGCTGAAAAAAGGCATTATTTGATGTAGCAGAAGAGCTTCAAGTGTCCATTGACATCTTAGCCAAAGAACTCATGTTACTGATTGCCATTAAAGCACAATCAATCAGGGACCAATAGACACCCAATGCTAGCAATGCAGCTGAAGCTATACTGTCCGGCCATCATGGTCCATTTAATTATTTTATTCTACTGTAATTATCTTCTATCTTCTGCTTTCTTAGCTAGGTGATGGCACCAAGGTGATCTTGGATGATCTCAGAAATCTAAATAAGGTTGATCTCATTAATATTTAGATGGAAGATTGTGGTTTTTGACTGGAGAGTACAAAATATCTCAGGACAATGATAAACAGTTGCCATATTGTGGGCAGGAAAAACTAAATGGGCTTGTACACAAAGCTGGTGTGAACACAAAGGAGACTTTGCTTATGAATGTCTTTATTGACCACCATACAAGCAGGAGACTTAAATCCAGTTTTAAATCAGCAACATTTGAATACACTCATGCCACTTTCTCTGTGGCAGATAACCTTAAGGTTGTCTTTGCATTCATTGCTTCAGCTTTGATTCTGCAGTTATAAACAAACATTTTGAGTAAGATTGTCACAGCCAGTTATAAATAAATTGTAACTTTATTCATAGCTTTACCTGCTGAGGTGTATACCTTTTTTTCTTTTTTTGACAAAAGGAGAAAACACGTATTTTACTGACTGGCATTTTTGTGTTTACTTGCCTTTCTTTTTTCAGAAAAAAAAAATTGACATGTGTAACTTGCTAAAGTGATATTTATATGTATCTTTTGACATTGGCTCTAAGATGTGACAGGAAAAAAAATAAAAAGCCTCAAGGGTTTTGTTTATACACTTGACTTTTTTATTAGGCAGTATCTTAAGATACAAGTCTATGGGGCTGAGTTCCTTTGTTCCTCTTGTACAGTATAGACTCTGCCTGAAAGAGGAGAGAACGTGTGGTATATAAAGCCAGAATTCCAGAAATTGAAGGCCACACATCTTACATTTCCTGAGACTGAGAAACACTCTGCCATGCCATTATGTCCCAACATAATGCTAGTGAAAAGTGATATAAGAAAGGAGGAGGTTGTGTTAGTCCTTTGAATGCTCCATGGTGATAGATAGTTTGCTGTTTCCCTGCTTTTTTGTGTTCAACTGTGTGATGTTGGTTTGTTTCTTTTTATTGGAAGAATAGGTGTAAAATTTTAGTGGAGATTGTTAAAAGAAGAAGCTCCAAAACTATTCCACTCCAAATCCACTAATTGTGGATGTTTCAGCTTTCAGAAAACAAAGATGGGCACTTCATGGGGCCCGCTGTGTTGCTCATCTCTTTTTTAAGGCACTTGCCTTTAAGTGCTGAAGAACTATTTCCTAAATACTATTTATTTATTTGCAGATTATATCCTACTTTTTGTCCAGTAGTTCAGGACAGTGTACACAGTCCTCCCTGTCCTTGGTAGGATATATTGGGTTGAAGGAGAATAACAATAGCTTCTCCAGAAACTTGTAAATTAGTTTAGGCCATGAGTGAGATTTAAATATGATACAGATTGGAGGGGGGAATAATAATATAAAACAAGATCAGATGATTTTTGGGGGTGCTTTGTCTATGTACATGTTGCATTTCATTGGATGCCTTGAAATGCATTGTGGTGCATTTCACTACAATGATTCTATGTCACATAGCATTTGCTTTTTACTAGTTGTAACTTGGTAGAGAAAAGAAGGAAATGAAACTGAAGAAGAGTCCCTGGTTATTTCTCTTCCACGCATGTAACATCTGGCAAGAAAAAGTATTAATTAAGGGATGATATTGTTCATAGCATTTCTTTACACATGGTAATAGTTTCCTAGTACAAGTCAATCATTACTCACTATAAACACTCTTGATTATAAATATAATTATAATTCATTAACAAAAGGAGACATTTATAAATGCACCGCTTTCTGTTTTTGTTCTACCAAATAAAGTTTCAGTAGGAAAAAAATGTAAGAAATATATTCATTTCAACTATATGAGCAATTGTGTGCCCCTGGAGTTGTTTTTGGTAAGATGGATGGCTATGTAAATTTGATTAATAACTTTATTAATTTATTAATAAATAAATAAATAAAAATCTTTCAAGCTTTTTTTACTTCTTCTCTTGGACTCCGTGTACTATTTCTTCAGGATTCATATTTATGGAATATAAAAATGGCTATTATGACACTCCTCAAGTGTGACTGAGTATTGACAGCCTGACAATTCAGACTGAGAAATAAAGAAGCATCCCTCTTCTCCAGAGAACATTAAGGATTGAAAAAGCAACAACAGTAGCAGCAATCCACTATACCATGGGTCTTCAAACTTGGCCCTTTTATGACTTGTGGACTTCAACTCCCAGAATTCCTCAGCCAGCGTGCCTGGCTGAGGAATTCTGGGAGTTGAAGTCCACAAGTCATAAAAGGGTCAAGTTTGGAGACCCCTGCACTATACCTTTCTAAAGACATTTTAAAGGAAAAACTGCTAATTAAAAAATGCCTGATGAGATCTGAGGAAGATCAGCAGTCACAGAATGTAGAATGATAGTTGGAATAGTAACCTAAAAAGGGGCTGAGGAACACAGATTGGCGAATCCTGTAGAAAGACATAACTGGTTTATTGGCTTGACTTTTCTAGTTTGAAAGGGGGCTATAGTGTAGCATTTACAGACAGATAATATCAAAGCCTATTAGAAAAGCACAAATAGATAGGTTTCTACCTCAAGAACAATTAAGTTAATGTTTGATGTAGGAGTTGCAGGAGAAGGATATGGAGGCATGGGAAAACTGTTGAGAGCTGTGCCAAGTTGCTTAAGATGGGCAGCCATATAAATCTTTTACATAAATAAATACATACATAAATTAAAAAAACTGAATTGGGATTATACTGTATAGGATACCGAGCTAAGGAGTTCTGTAGTGCTTTAAGAAAAAAAGAGACTTTGAAGAGGGATCTGAAGGGAATGCTCAGTTGGTATACATTTAGGCAGGGGTCTTCAAACTTGGCCCTTTTATGACTTGTGGACTTCAACTGCTAGAATTCTTCAGCCAGCCATCATTGATCAGAATGACAAGTCACCACAGATTTGCAATAAATATTGCAGTGTGGAGTGCTGCTTTTTTTAGTGGTACTGCTTGGCAACAAATTTAAATGTACCTCAATTTTGTTGTTGGCACGTAATTGAGAACCAGAGTTTCTCAGAGCAGAAATCATATAGCACACTTGATAGCTGTGTCCTCTTGACTCATACTAGTGATGCATTCCCCTGTACACATTACAAGGGCCATAGCTTTTTGAAATCATTCACTGTGGTTTCTTAGGGCAAAGTGTCCACCCTGTGGCCAATAGTATATATTAGAAGATGGATGAGATGACCAGAGAACGTAGCTAGAATTTACACTATATGAATGGGGGAGGTCAAGATGCAGCATTCTGATTTTCACCTGTCTCTAGCATTTTGAAAAATGCTATTACAACTAATATACATTTCCAAGGGTTCCAATAATTCAACAGATTAACAGTTTCTCATATAATATTACTGAAATGTTGAATTGTCATAATATTATTCTCATCCTGGTTAAAGCTAGATAAATTGAATTTAAGTTTAACTGAAATCAATGGTATTAAATCTTGGACCCATAAAGTTTTGTCTTTGCAATCTTTCTTTAGAATATGTCTCTACTAGTTCTGAATTTTAAAATCATGGTTTTACTTGGAGGTTCACAAAACTCCCAGTAGGAACAATTGTGGACAACATTCTTGTTCTAGAGCAGGGGTGTCAAACTGCCAGCCCACGGGCTGGATGCATCATGCCAAAACCATGCCCACCCCAGCTCCGGCAATGGGGAAAAAGTCATGATATGTTGCGACATGTCACGTGATGTGGCGAGTTTGACAACTCTGTTCTAGAGCAATGAAATCATACCCCCACAGGAGCTTGGAATAGGATATCTACACAGTTACAAGAAAACCCCAGTGTGCATTAGCTTTGAGGTCTCTCTCTCTCTCTCTCTCTCTCTCTCTCTCTCTCTCTCTCTCTCTCTCTCTCTCTCTCTCTCTCTCTCTCTCTCTCTCTCTCTCTGTGTGTGTGTGTGTGTGTGTGTGTATAAAACGCAAGTGTGTGCAGGCAAACCAATACAGAACTTTTCAGAATTCTGGAATCTGAACATTATTATCCTACTTTGTATTTATCGTACTTATTCAACAATTGTTAAATTGCTATTAAGATTTGTCTATTTTTGATACTATTCCATCTTTGTCCTCAATTAGAGTCCGGATTTGGTTTTTAAGCCATTTGCAGACAGCATTGTCATGTTGCGTGATGAGAAGTGGGAAAAGGTCCGGAGCATATTGACCCCAGCCTTCAGTATTGCAAAGATAAAAGAGGTAAGATGCAGGCAGGTGTCACAATCGCACATACAAAACCCTTTTCTTTTTCTTTCTGCTCTGTGTTTCCCAAATGTGCACTATTACATAAAAAGTGACCCACTCATCCACTGCAACATGGTTAATGCCTTACTGGCTGCCTTTACAGAATCACTGTTCCCTTAAGGAGAAGGGTTTCTCAGTATATCAAGGTGTTTAATTAGAAAATGAAGAATGAGCTTAGTTTCAACTGGACAAATAACCTATATGCAGTTTATCTGTGTTTTTCTATCAGATTTGGACTCCAGATCCCTGTGACTGATCTCTCTCCCTCCCCAAAGGATATGACATTAGAAATCTTTATACCACTTTGGAATCCCTCCCAAAATTGGGAGGTACCTATAAACACAGGAAGACCAATTTCCACATAGAAATTCAGTATATATTTGGCAGAAATGTTTGGTTAGCATTCGTTCGCAGAATCTCAACTAGAACAACTTTCATGTGTGAGACACCATAAAACAATAATATCTATGACACTTGCTATTCAGTAGGTTCAGAAGAACAGTGCAACACAACATCCATTGCATTTAGAGCATGCACAACTGCTCTACGCCCTGTTATTGACAAAAATCTAATCGCTGAATTTTTGAGGTGACCAGTAGCTGCATTTTTTTAAATTATTTTCTGTACATGGAACTGCATAAGTTCAAATTGTTATTTGCTGTGGATGTAAGCTTTTTTTTATTAAAAAAAATACACAAATGAATCAGTCCTTTGCAATCTAACAATCTCTTGGGGAAAGCAGAGATTGGAAATACTCCTTTCCTGCCATGGTCTCTATGTGATGTGATATGTCTCTATGTTTCACAACCTAGTCTTATCCAAGAACTTGATCTAATTGGTTTCATAATACCTTAGGCCAAGGGTAGGCAACCTTGGCTCTTTTATGACTCGTGGACTTCAACTCCCAGAATTCCTGAGCCAGCATGGCTGGCTCAGGAATTCTGGGAATTGAAGTCCACGAGTCATAAAAGAGCCAAGGTTGCCTATCCCTGCCTTAGGCCATTTTCCTATAGTGACTTAAAGTGTTTTCATAACATTATCCAGGCATCAGTGCACAAAGAAAAGCCTATCCTTATTACTCTTATTTTGGCACAGGGATATTGAATAATGCCAAATGAAGTTGTAAGTCACTATTGTGGAAATGACCAGTTTCACAGTGCCAATGGGAAATTTCCTGACTTGATTTTTCCCCCCTGCTTATATAAGCATATCTTTTCTTCAAGAACTTCCCAGCGGGCTAGCTTTATTAATCTTTTTGCAGCAAAATGAGGAATGTTGTGGCACATTAAAAATTAATAAACCACATGAGATTACATGAATGACTTTAAAATTGTTGTGGCAGTTTAAAAAAGAACTAATTTATTAGTGCATAAGCTTGCAGGGATTATTGAGCGCATGGCCTTTGATAGCCAAAGTTTATGCAATAATGCATTTGTTGGCCTTTGAAGTTACCACAAGACATTATGTGTTTTGTTTCCCTAGAGTGTCCTCAAAAGTAAAGCTACCACAACATTTAAACAATTCATATTTAGTGTACAAAAATTGAGATTTCCTCAAAGATGCATCATTAAAAAGTGAGTTTTCTTTAAAAAAAATACTTTTGAGAACAAAGGCTTAGGGCAGGGGTCTTCAAAATTGCTGGGTGAGGAATTCTGGGAGTTGAAGTCCACAAGTCATAGAAGGGCCAAGTTTGAAGACCCCTGGCGTAGGGTAAATAATTGGAATCTATGTTGTGTGTTTTGCAAATAAAAAGAATTCATCTCTGGATTGCTTGAGTTAGAATAGGGAGGGTTGCATGTGTTAGTATTTGCTGGCCACAAACTGACCACATCAGCTATGTGAGTTGGGCTTGTTGTAGGGGTATTCTTCAGTTTTTAACTTATCTCTGCTTTAAGCTAAATCTCGGATTGCATATCGGATGTAAGAATACATTTCTACTGTCCATAAAATCAACTCGGATAGCCAATAGCAAACGTTTTGTAGACAGCTTAGGAAAGTTGCTTTATTATAGACAAGAAGTCATATATATGCAAAACACATAAATCAGACTGCCTGCCTATCTCTTGCTCTCTCTTCCCTCCCTCCCACCCCAAGTTTTAAATCCCAAATCTTTTCCTGCTGTCTTTTGAAGACATTTCCCCAGCCTTGTGATAAGAGGGTACCTGCTCAGTGTTTGCACAACCCTTCTGGCTGGCCCATGCACAGCTTGTTCCTGCTTTGTCAACATCAATCCCTACAATATTATATTTCTTCATCTGTTTCCCAACTCAAATAGTGGAAAATAGTGCTGTCACTTTTCAGCATCCAATGCCAGAGGAAGCTTTAAAGTCTGCTAAAAAGGGGGGGGGGGTGTTGGCTGCAAGTTACCCACCTTTAAATTAAAGCTTGTGCTGATAGTCTGCATTTAGCTATCATAGTTTGGACTGGCAACTTGGTTGTTAAACAAAATGGGTGTTTAGAGAAATTGCAACTGTGCTTATGATTTTACAGTATTTTGGCTTTCTTTTGCTTTACAGAACTGCAAAGGCTGTAAATGTGAGAATTGTTTGCAAAGTTACTTTTTCATTATCATTATCATCATCATAACTGCAATGGTTGTTGTATGACACATTCACTAAATGAGGACTGCCTGAAGCTATTTCTCTAATTCTCTTCATTTGTATGTTTATTTATTGTTTTCATATAACTTGTTGCAATATATGCAGACATATTTCTACGAATAACTCTCTGGGCTCACACATACAAAACGGTATGTGCAAAATAAAATAAGCACATGCTTATTTTTATCCAATTCCCCACAAAAATGTTGATTTTTACTTTGCCAACTCTGCCCCTCCATAGCATTCTTAGGCTCTTCCAGGAAAGCAATAGGTTTTAAGTTCCAGCTCAGATTAACACAAGCACGTGAAATGCAATACAGCAATATAGTCCCATTAACCTAATACCTATTTTACTCAAACCAACTGAAAATTTGGATCCTGTTTTTGCTAATAAGAAGTATATCTTTCTTGTACAAGTGGGATTTGCCTAGATGACTGCTCAGGAATGGTAATTACTCTTTCGTTGGTAATTTGGCCTTACCCAAGGCCTGCCCTAGAAAAAGAACTCTTGCTGTCTTCTAAATAGATCATTTCAGAATTAATTTCTCTAGATTATAGTCATGTATCTCTTAGAGAGGGCATCTGAAAGTGTTTGAGGGTATTAATTTCTCTTTGCTTCCTAGTCTAATAGCCTATTTCTCTATATCCACTCATCAAGCATCTGGAGACTTAATTTATCATGGGATAAACTTCCAGTTCATTAATATGTACTCTTAATTGAAAATGAAGATAGCATTTCCATTACTGAAAATTCATCTCCAAAGGGTATATACGGAGAAGATCATTCTTTTCCCTCATAGTCATATTCTTAAAAAGGAAATATGTTTCTCACCCCATTGGCTGTTCTTTGGTTAGAAAATAAAATTACTGGACATAAGCCTATGTTGTTTTGACATGCTGCTGTCGAACTCTACAGTAGCATCTAAATGTGTCTGGCTTCTTTAGTTCTATAGACAGCTGTTGCTTAGCAACACCAGCTGTCACCCCCTTATTATGGTAAATTCTAATTGGCCATAAGCCTGTGAAGGACCCCTGATTAATCAGAACTGACAATATCATTGGTAATGCACCTAGACAACTAGCTTACTCCCTGGTTTGATAGTGAATCTGACAGGATTTAAAGTAAGGGAAGCAATAAATGCAAATGTGCTCTCTATAATTTGGAGGGAGAGAGGCTAAAGAGGAGAGTTTTGTATTGCCTTGACAGAAATTAATCCCTCTTACTATGGGTCATTGGCACAAGACAAATCTTTGCCTCCGTTCTTTCCCCTCCTTAAATCTAACAAAAGATAAAACCTCTGGTATACACAGAGCCAGACCCTGCTGGCAGGAGCCAGACACGCTTTAGAAGGACAAATAGTTCCTGGATATTGTGCTTTGCAGGGATAGATGACTCTGTTTACAGAGTTAATTATTTAAGTCAAGAGGAAAATTCACACTGTTGCATTTTAAGCGGCACAACGTGAAGGAAAGCAAAAAATGTCCAGAGAGGAAAGGGAGCAGGAGTCTCAGAGAAGAAAATTACAAACAATTGCACTTTTAAAACAACAACAACAACAGAATATTTTTATTCATGCTTCATAGCAAGTCATTTTAACAAGAAATAAGCCACAATCGAGTAGATTCATACAATATAAATCACAGGTTACAAAATCTTAAAGATTGGCAAGTATATTATACACAGCTTATACAACATCACCATCCATGCAGAGAACATTTGCATTAACTGTAAAATAAAGAGAAATGAGGGAGGCCACCAAATAGCCCACTGGGAATTAAAAGCATGCACAGAAGAGCCACAGAATGCAAGGGTTTGTGGGGGGCAAAGACAAAATAACAAAAGGGAGTGCAATGCAGTGCAATGCTTTATCCTGAAAGTAGATATGACAGATACCTGGAGCCAAGGTGGTTTTTTTTTTAAAAAAAATATTTGAATTGATCTAGAGGAGGAGAGGAGTGTTGTTATTTACCTGAACCTACAAATAGCAATAAAGAACAAAACAGAAGCAAAGGGACAGCAGGAGGCGGTTCGATTTCCATTTGCATTCCATTTTATTTTTTCTATGTAAAGCTTTAGTTCAGAGGGAAAATGTGTTGCATTTTAGTATTTAGCATGATAAAATGCTACAGTTCTATTCCAACCAAGGAATATATGAGGATTGTAGGCTTTTATCTCTATAATGACTAGATTCTGTTGTTACTCAATGTTGCCCATATTATGTTTTATGCTGCAATCTCTTTCTTGAGGGCTGTGTCTGGCCTGACAAATTCACTATTTTCAAATATGCATTTCGGATCATTGTTCCATCTGTGTGATGATGCGGTGAACTCTTTAATGAGCACCTGGTCTCATGT